GGGTCAAAATCAAAATTTTCAGATCCAACAATGCTAAAGAGTATTTTGCAAAACAATTGGTTTCATATTTCCTTGACCATGGAATTATCCACCAAAGCAAAACGATTTACTTTTCCCCTTAAGGCTTTTGGATGTACTTACTTCGTTTGGACATCATCATTCCAAATTTGATCCTAAAGCTTCAAAATGCATTTTCCTTGGATATGCACAAACTCAAAAGGGATATTGCTGCTATGAACCTACTTTTGGGAAACAGTTTGATTCTATGGGTGTCACTTTCTTTGAGGATGTACCCTATTATCCTAGAGTTTCTTCTCAGGGGGAGAGCAGTTAGATAGTGTCTCATTCATCAGAAATTCCATTACCTGTCCCAATCACTGAAGGGGAGTGTAGTGAGGAGGGTTGTCAAAGGTGCTGGGATTTGAGGGTATATCACAGGTGGTGGAGGCAGGTTGATTTCGGTCATTAGCAATCTAGTCCATCTCCAATTTCATCTGCGGTTCCAGATCCAGGTACCACAATTCCTTTATCTTCCACTACAGATGAAATACCTTCCATTGTTCAGCCTTCTTTTCCTCCATTGGATGATCTTGATCTTCAAATTGTAGTCCGTAAAGGGAAGCGCTGTTGTACCTCATCTACAACTCATTGTATTTTCTAGTTCCTATCTTATGATCATTTGTCTCCATCATACAAGTCTTTCTTGGCATCTATTGCTGTTGTTTCCATTCACAGAACAATGCAAGAAGCCTTGTTAGTACCTAAGTGGAAGAATGCAATGAAGGTAGAGATGGATGCTCTTCTAAAGAGCAATACATGGGAATTAGTTGATTAGCCTAAGGGAAGAAATTAGTTGGGTGTAGATGGGTGTTTATAGTGAAACATAAAGTTGATGGTTCCATTGAAAGATATAAGGCTAGATTAGTTGCAAAGGGGTTTACACAAACATATGGCATAGACTACTTGGAGACTTTTCATCAATAGCAAAGTTGAACACTATCAGAGTTTTACTATCCATTGCAGCCAAGTTCTCGTGGCCATTGTTCCGGATGGATGTTAAAAATGCCTTCCTCAATGGTGATTTGCAAGAAGAGGTGTACATGCAGTTACCTCCTAGATTCTATAGTACAGAAGCAGGGAAGAAGGTCGGTCGGCTTAATAAGGCCTTATATGGACCGAAACAGTCTCCTAGAGCCTGGTTTGATAGATTTAAATGGACTCTTGAAAAATTCAGCCATGTGCAAGCCCAATCAGATCACACCCTTTTTATTAAGAAAATGGATTCCTCCTTAACTCTACTTGCTGTAAATGTGGATGATATTGTGGTGACAGGGAGTGGTACCTATGAGACCGACTCTCTTAAGGAACTTCTTCACTAAGAATTTGAGGTCAAAGACTTGAGAGAGCTACATTATTTCTTGGGCATTGAGATAGCACAGTCTAAACATGGGATTTTTGTTTCCCAAAGGAAGTATGTTTTTGATATTTTGGAAGAAACTGGGAAGCTAGGTGTTAAACCTGCTCACACACCTATTGAATAAAATCATAAGATTAGTATAGAAGGTGGAGAGCCTCTTGAAGACAAATTTATATTTCAATGGTTGGTTGGGAAACTTCTCTACCTTTGCCTCACACGACCAGACATTTCTTATGCAGTCAGTGTTGCTAGGCAGTATATGCATTCCCCCAAAACCACTCACCTACTTATAGTTGAGTGGGGCGACAACCTCAGTTATGACCCACACTCTTCTTTGAATTTTTCTCCTCTTCTTCTCTTCTTCTTCTTTTATTGTTTGCATTCTTCCTTGTTTATTTCACATCTAAACTAGGACTGATTGCTGTCTTACTAGACAAGTGACCATTAAGCACATGATAAGGTAAGTGGAAAGGATTGCAAAGGATATAGAAGCTGAATCAAGTGGATCAAAAGGAGTGCAAATGGGCTAGCTGACTCCTTTGACAAACAAGGGGCTTTGAGGCAGCAATTTTTTTTTTGGGTTTGTATGTAATTTGAAATTGATAGTTGTAATATTATAGGGATGAAAATTGGGAACGACACTCCCACTACCAAGTTGTACAAATTTCTGTTAAGAAAATGTAATATAATATAATACATCTGTTACTGATAAAAAAATTAACAAATAAGTAGTTTTGTTGTCGAATTACAGGTTAAGACATAGCTATCAATTATAATTGGGTCTTATTGAATCATACCCAATGGTCCTGATTACAGATCCTATAGGTTCTGCTTTGGAATTGGTTCTACACATTTACTAATTGGGTCAGGTCCTGGTCCAGGCCCAACCAATTGATAACAATTGTTATAAGGAAACTAATGCTTCTATAAAGTGGATATTCTCTTACATAGTCTCTTGGTAATCATTTACGGGCTTGCAAACTTTAATGCATGAGACATTACTGAAGTGACTAAAGATTGAAGCATGTTAAACTGTCCTATGCTTTTTAACACTAGTCAAGGAAAAATTAGGCATCATAATCTACTATTTTTCAGGAATGTCAATTTAAACTACACTAAATGTGTCTCCATCCCCTGTATAGAGTTTGAACTGATAGAATTGAGGGAAAAATTGGATATTTGATGGTGGTGCAATACCTTAATTATAAATCATGTTCTGATGTTCTCAAACTACATCTTTCTCTTAAGTCAATTTCCAACGATCTTGATCCACTTACAGGGAACTTTATCCAGTGATATAGCCACATGTCTACACTATCAAGTATCAAGCATTACATATTTTGTTTCACTTTTGCAAAAGCTGGAGAAAACTGAAAAGGATTACAAAATGACAAATAACTTAGGAAAACAAAAAAGAGAAAGAGAAAAGGGGGAACAATGAAGATGCAAAATGAGGATATTGTTAATGATGCAGGTGTTTCCTCTATCTCCGCTTGTTTTCAACTGCCAACTAATGGAATCAGCTATCAGCTGTCTGATACGATGTTGCATCTGCATGAATTAGGCTGCATAGTCACAGGGTTATTCTTAAAGGATACAGTGAGGTAATGAGGTTTCGAGTGGATCTGTTCATGAGAAGGAGGTGGTTATGGATGTTACTCATGTTGTGCAGGGCGAGTTAGATTTGGATGAGGTGGTTGACATGGAGGTGGAGGTTATCTTTTATCAGGGTTGAGGAATTTGCTAGATAGGTTTTTAGAGATCTGGAAGAAAACAGAGGTCAATTTTGGAGGAAGAAAGAGACTTCTGCAGGAGGGGCTGCTTGCTCTTTTTGATTTCAGCTTTTGCTGCTGAGTTTTTTCCTGTTTTGGAGTCTGATAATGAATTTTATTTTTTATTTATCTTCAAAAAAAAAAATCTTAAAGGATACAATGAGACTTAAACATTTTGGCTCTTTGATTGGGCAGTCTTGGATGTGGATTTGGCATTGCTATTCTGGTCCATGTAAGATCCTTATGATATGCAAATTGCTTGTTATGTAAAACTGGGTTTCCATCAATTGATTAATCATTAATGTTGTGGTTGTTTCTTACATGTCCAACCATCTATTTATGTCAAGTAACATCTCATACAATTGATGCCTAGCAGTGGAATGGAGTTGCTGTCAGGGAGGAGAGATTGTTGAGAGGTTATACTTTCACTCATTTGTTCTTTCTTGTAGTAGAAGTTTGTTCTTCTTCTTCACCTGGAATTTCCTTTCCCAATTTCCCAATTGAGTTTCTTTGAAAGGTCTCCTATCCTCTTCTTTTTCCTTCTTTTTTTGGCTCTGTAACTATCAAAGGAATAACATCTCCTAAAGATGGTGGGATTAAGTTTTCGTAACAATCTCCCTTTTGTTTTGTCCTATCAGCCTTTCTTTCAGGCCTGCAAGGCAAGGATGTACCTTGACATGTATCTTTTCTTGCAATCTATTTGTGTTCCTTCTAATTCCTTGCCATCAAACAATGACTTCTTTATCCCTGGAAATGGAAGAACAGGATGTGGTACCAATAAAGCATGCATTCCAAACCCTATCAAAAATTAGCCATTATAAAATCATGAAGATTTTTATGTAGTTCTGAGGTCAAAATCAATAAAGAAGTGTCAAATGATCAGATATTTTATTAAGCTAACAATATGGTACTAAATGATTGGAATATTTAGGTATTATTGGTAAATTCTGAGGAACAATTTTTTCTACCATGACTTACACTCATGTTGTGAACTTTCTTACACTGATATGGTAATGCTGTGTTTTCTTTGTAATTTGCTGGTGGGAGAGTTAGGCCAATTTACCTCCCCCTCTTGTAATTTAAGTTTCATAGTTTCAATAACGTTTCTTGTTATTGATAAAAAAAAAGCTGTGCTGTTTTTGCTATTTATTAAGCTAACAATATGGTACTAAATGATTGGAATATTTAGGTATTATTGAAAAATTCTGAGGAACAATATTATATATAATAAAATATAATATAAATTAATAATATATAATATATATTATATAATAATAAGATTAGTAACAAAAAAGTGTTATATATTATAATATATAGAATATTATATAATATATAGTATATTATTAATTATATAATTAATATATTATAAAATATCTGTCCAGATCAGGCTTTGGGCTCAGGCTCGGGCCTGGTCATTTTCTGTTTATAAAGAGGCAAAGCCTGTCCAAAACCCGGGCTGGCCCGGCCTTTGAACAGGTCTACTTAACATATTAAGATATCATATTTTTTTAACAGTAAGTGAAAATTTTCGTCAAGTTAAAAAGAAAATGCAATGGTTGGTGATAAAAGAATCACTGACTAAATCATCTAAGATCTAATATCCATTCATTACCATTGATCCAACCTCTGGATTTGGATATTGTTTGCTATAAACTTAGCTATATTTCATGGCATTTTTGTATCCAGCCAAGTCTTAGTGATGCTAATTCTCTCCATGGTAGTTTGGCAATGATAAGAAAATGTTGCTTTCTTGAAAATTTGTATATTCACATGGTTAACACAGGATATTTTTTTTGAACCTATAAATGCAGTGGGTTTTATCATCAAAACAAATCAACTTCCCCTATCCTCTCGGGTTGACTCTACTCCATATGGTTTTCTCATCCGTTTTATGTTTTCTTCTTACCAAAGTTCTGAAGGTATTGATCTTATTAAACTTTGCTGAGCTGATTTTATGATGTGCCAAACAAGGCTGATTTTCTTTGTTGTACACTTAATTTCTTTTGTTTTTCTTTTCAGATTATGAAGATTGAAGAGGGAATGACTACTGAAATGTGAGTACCAAATGAAGTTTCCATTTCCATTTATCAAAAAAAAAGTTCCAATTTTCCATTTTAAATTCACATAGTTGTTCCCAATTGATTTTTATTTTTTATATTTTTACTACATAAAGAATTGTTGCAACTGGTTTACTAAATGCACCAAAGGGAATATTTTTTTTTTTGATCAATAACAATTTCATTAATTCACCAAAGAGGTTACATAAGGAAGACAAACACACTTATCTTCCAAGTACAATCAAGAAAACAAAAGAATAGGTAGAGACAAAAAATTACAACTTAGCCCAAAACATTGAATCCCTTTCTGCCCCTTGTTTAGCTAAACCATCAGCTAGAGAATTGGCTGATCTTTTGACCCAGCA